ATTGCGCCTAGAGTTGTGATTGTCTTGGAGGTATTTTTCCTGTGGTCATTTCTGAGTACTCTAAGTGACGGCAATGCCTACCCATTAGGCTGCCCTTCCACCAGAGATGTGCGAGGTGGCGAGGCGATGCGAGGATGTGTAGCGGCGCCGTGAAACGGTGTGATGTTTTCCACCAAAGCTGTGCGAGATAGCTAGGCGGTGGGAGAATGTGCAGCGGTGCGGTGAGACGATGCGTTACGGACTCTTTTCTTGCTATGTGCGGGCGGGATACGGTGTGATGGAATGACAGGTAGCGATGTGTCAGTGTTAGTTAGTGACATAGTTTCAGTAACTCTAGCTTCCTCTTAGAGGCTGGAAAAAATTAAAGAGTTTCCTACACCGTTTTGCACACGTTCTTCACCCGCATACCTCGCACACATCTCTCGCCATTTTGTATGTACAAATACTGTGGCGGTAGCTCCGCTAACCCTTTTCCACCGGAGCTGCGCTAAGCGAGGCTAGGAAAATGAAGCAATCCTATTGGTGGATTTTTTCCTCGCACAGCGCCTCGCTACGTCGCACATCTCTGGTGGAAAGCAGCCTAACTGTCTCATTTCCACCTTGAGCTTTAAATCACAAAGATGTGAGGGGCACTGCCACTGCACCCGACACCCTGAAATCAACAAGTCAAGTGAAGTAAACTGACAACAACAAGGACACAAGGAGGTCTACTGGTCACGTTTAGTACCAGTAGAACTCCTTGTGAAAGAGTTCGTCCATCAGGGAAGTAGGTATTGCCACCTTACCTATTTCTGCCGCCAAGCAGTAGTGTGAGCATTTCTACGTTCCGGTTTTGAAGGGTAAGGGTGCTGGTGAAATTACAGGCAAATGGGACTTGTCAACTTACGTCTCAAGGTGACAAGCGCAGTGGCATTGTCCCTCAGACCTTTGCCATTTAAATCTATGTGGCACTGCAACTGCTATAGACAGGCGTGTCGCTTAACAGCAGGCACACCACTTGTTTGTCCTGTCGCTTGGTATCATAAAAAAAAAATTCTTGTGCACTTTCACCAGTGTTCAAAACCGGAACGAAGTAACGCTCACATGACTATTCGGTTTTAGAAATAGGTATGAGTATGGTGGCTATATTTCCCTGGACGAACTCTTTCACAAGCAGCTGTTTTACAAATACCCTGTATTGTAAGGTAATAAGCTCAAAAGTGCAAGTGTTCTCTCCGACTTACGCCAAATCCGCTCCTGCATTTTGAATCGATCTGATATTCAAGCTAGTGATTTCTTTTGTTAACGCACAGAGTTATTACCCTTTACAACGATCTATTTAAATGTTTTTATTTTTGTACAAAAGTGAATCTTATGAATAATCAGAAATCATGGAACAAAAGTTATTGTTATGACGGTAGTTCTATGGTCCTGAGGGGTTCTTTGTACTTCACAAAAAACCTTGTGTACTCAGCCCATTAATCTGCTAATTAATTGCATATTATTTTTTATAAATTACCGGGAATAATAATAATAATAATAATAACGCACACACTCAACATAGCCTACTAGGGAAATACTGTGTCGCGGGTGCTATGGACACATATATAGACAACCGTAAATTACACCCAAACTCACGAGAGAAATAAATGTAGGCAATACAAATATTTCCCCCGGCCCGGGAATCGAACCCGGGACCTCTGCGTGGCAGTCCGGCATGGGAACCGTTCGGCCACGGAGGCAGTTAATGATACGCACCGGTGTTTTTTCGTTGTAATAATAACTCGAAACGACATCCAAAACAGCAATTCCCTTCATCAATAATAAATAGCATGAGGGTAGAATCGATAAGTACAGAAACGGTAAATTGGTGACACCGGTTAACACTTATTGAACTGTGAACCTTTCTGTTAAACCCCTCGTTTCTATTTTAATGAGCTATTGCGTTATAAAAATAATAAATCACATTGTCACACTAGTTTACATTATGGTCGCAACATTTTGCGAGTTTCTTTGGGAATATTTCTGTTGATAATCAAAATTTGCTTTTTTTATGTCGGGACGAACACATCGTGCGCCTGGTGGTAAGCGACACGCCCGTCCATAACAACTGTAGTGCCACTCAGTGCTTTAAATCACAAAGATCTGAGGGTCACGCTGAGACACAGGTTAAAAAGTCCCATGTACCCGTAACTTCACTTTTCAAGGTGGCGACTTCCCTGGACGAACCTTTCACAAGGAGCTCCATCACTGCTACTATATTAAATGCTATTTAAGAGCTTTTAAACTACCTATAGTCAAGTAAAAATTTTAGATGCACGAAAGGTAATAGCAGTAGTGGTAGTAGCAGTAGTAGTGGTAGTGGCAGTAGACCTTCTTGTGAAAGAGTTCGTCCAGGGAGGTGCTGCCACCTTACCTATTTCTGCTGCCAATTAGTAATGTCAACATTACTGTGTTCCGGTTTCGAAGGGTAAGGGTGCTGGTGAAAATTACAGGCACATGGGACTTGTCAACTTATGTCTCACGGTAACGGGCGCAGTGACAGAGCCCCTCAGATTGTTGTGATTTAAAGCTCACACTGATACTGTTATGGACAGGCGTGTAGCTTACCATCAGGCGCACGACTTGTTCGTCCCGTCTCTTAATATTATATAAAAAAGGTACAGCTTCTGCGTACTTAAGAAGACAAAAATCCATGGAAGACCTATTTTAATGTACTAAGTTGCTTGCGATGGCGCGCCGTTACAACATACTGTGTAACATGTCACAACGCAGCGTCGGTCGCCGTCGTCGCAGCACAAATAGTATGGCATTGCTCTAAGTTGCTTCCGTCGGCGCTCCGTCCGTTTCAACGCTCCGTGTGGTATGTTGTTCTGTAGGGCTAGTACGATAGGGTGCAACTTGCGCGAGAGCGACACAAAGTACGATACTATGCTATTCTCGCATCGTGTGGTATCGCTCTTAGTATTTATTTCTGGTTGTATCTACCTGTGGTATTTTGAAATAAACAGGTACAGTAAACGTGAAAAACATCTATTTACAAAAATCTACTAGAGATTCTTATTCATTCTTCTCGATGCAATATGCCTTACGAATTAATAACAGTGCTTAATCAATTAAGACGATTTCAAGCGTAATTTGGTTACTTATGAAACAAATGATTTTGAATTTGATATTATAAGCTCAATTGTTCAAGTTTCGCAAAGTTGAACCAATTGATTCAACGGAATCGAACCCGGTGTAAATACTTCCTTTAACCGGACCTACGTCGTTAGTTGATAAAAAACAACAAATTCCCTTTTACTTTTGACTTTTGGGTGAAGTTTAATTTAGTCGAAGTGACAAATTTAGGCAATTGCGTCTAGCTCTCTGTGGCAAAAGGCCTGTCTGGCAGAGAACTACCACGGACGTGATGATGAAGAAATTAGATAAATGAAAATTAATGTAGTTTCAATTTAGTTTTATATAATTTATTATAAAATAAAACAAAATGTTGCTTTATTTAGGTATACACCCATTAATAAATTTAACATTACTTGGTACAGTACATTACATAATAATTAAATTCAATTTTATTAACGGAAAATTATTGTTATTAATGCAGTAAATAATTAAGAGTTAAATTAAATTGAATTGGAGTGTTCGCTTGAAAAGTAGCACATATCGCATACTGTTCATAATAATATTGGCCTAATCACTCACTCTCATTTTTATTAACAAAATTTATTCATTGTTCGACAGATATAAATATAGGTAATGTGATATTACAATGACATAATTCACTCACAGTCGCAACTTTTTTGACAATTGTATGAAATGAAACTGTTTTTCCGGGTTTAAATCGCGTATATTTGTTTTTTAAACAAACCAACGTTTCGGGCCCTTTACAGGTCCCATGGTCACGGTCACGGACAAATAGTTTCATTTCCCATGTGTAACAATCGCGAAACTCCTACCTAAGAACTCGAATTGTATGATTAATTTTGTAACAAAACAGACTTGACAATATACTTTTGTCACATTTTAATCAACAAATCTGCGATATTCGCCACAGAATACCGCGGTTGAGATAACAATTAATTTCTTCTCGAATAGGGTTAGTTTACGCACTTGAGCTTCTATTAACTATCTTGAAACTTCTAGGCATCTATAGTAAAGAATAATGGTACTTATTGCAATATACATAATACAACAGTCTCACAAAAATGAATGCAGGCTAGTATAGTTATCACATAGTACATATTACGAGCACATTTTTACGCTGAAGTGACGTGACTCCTAAAAGGCCAGCGCAAACCGGCGGACGGCAATGCATAGGACTTTAAATTTATCAATATATATTGTATGCTATAACAATCAGAATAAGGTATAAATTTCAATGCTCTGAAACCAGTCTCGGAGCATCGCAGCGCATTTCTCTCTGCGTGTGGTCCTGACAAAAATGTAGGTGTTTTGTTTGATACTGCTATATACGCAAATCTAACTTGCAAGAAATAACAACGGTGCCTGTGTACATAATAACATATGACGCAATGATAATAAATATAATGATAATAATGTAAATGACACAAAAATTATTTTTTCCTTACCATCCATACAAGATACGTTTTTTTTT